GGGGCACGGACACGGGCAGGGGGACAGGGACAGGGACAGGGACAGGGACAGGGACAGGGACAGGGATGGGGACAGGGGGATAGGGACAGGGATAGGTCAGGGGGACAGGGACACGGGGACATGGGGACAGGACAGGGACAGGGACAGGGACAAGGACAGGGGGACAGGGACAGGGACACGGGATGGGGAGAGGGACAGAGGACAGGAACAGGGGACAAGGACAGGGACGGGGAGAGTGACAGGGGACAGAGGAGAGGGGACAGGGGACAGGGGATACGGGGACATTGGAACATGCTGCTGGCACCTGGGACAGCCCAGGCCCCCTGCCCCAGGTGCCATCCCTGTGCCCCCAGTGCCACCTCCAGCCCAGTGTCCCCAGTGCCACTCCATGTCCCCATGTTCCCAGTGCCACCCCTCTCCCCATGTCCCCAGTGTCATCCCCATGTCCCCACTGCCACCCTCAGCCCGGTGTCCCCAGTGCCACCCCTCTCCCTGTGCCCTCAGTGCCACTCCCACATCCCCAGTGCCACCTCCATGTCCCCATCCTGTCACCCAGCTCAGTGTCCCCATGTCCTCCATGCGCCATGTCCCTGTCCCCAATGTCCCCAATGTCCCAAATCCCCCCAGTGTCCCCCATGTCCCCACTGCCCCCAGTGTCCCCAATCCCCCCAATGTCCCCAGTGTCCCCTCAGTGTCCCCAGTGTCCCCAATGTCCCCAATCCCCCCAGTGTCCCCTCAGTGTCCCCTGTCCCTCACCCAGCTCGAAGGAGTGCTCCAGGCTCAGGCTCACCCGGCAGCTCTCGGTGTCACCGGCCTGGGGGGACACGAGGGGACACGGGGTGACACCGGCACAGGGACACCAGGGTGACACGGGGTGACACCAGCACAGGGACACGAGGGTGACACGGGGGGTGACACCAGGGCAGGGACACCGGGACAGAGACAGCAGGACAGGGACACGAGGGGACACGGGGTGACACTAGCACAGGGACACCAGGGTGACACGGGGGGTGACAACCAGGACAGGGACAGCAGGACAGAGACAGCAGGACAGGGACACGGGGTGGGGGACACGGGGGTGGCACCAGCACAGGGACACGGGGAGGGGACACGGGGTGACACTAGCACAGGGACACCAGGGTGACACGGGGGGTGACACCAGCACTGGGACACCAGGGTGACACGGGGGGTGACACCAGCACTGGGACACCAGGGTGACACGGGGGGTGACAACCAGGACAGGGACAGCAGGACAGAGACAGCAGGACAGGGACACGGGGTGGGGGACACGGGGGGCACAGGGACACCGGGACAGAGACAGCAGGACAGGGACACGGGGTGGGGGACACGGGGATGGCACCAGGGGACAGCCCGGGGCGGGCTCCCCGCAGGCCTCATGAATATTAATGACCAGCCTCATGAATATTAATGACCAGCCTCATGAATATTAATGACCCGCCCCGCGCCCTCATTAACGCCAATGAGGCTCCGCAGCCTCAACCCCCTCATGAATATTAATCACCTGCCGGGAGCCAGAACCGCCCCTCATTAGCATTAATGAGGTGGAACCGGCGGGCTCGTTAATTTGAACCCGAACCTCATTAATATTCATGAGGGCATCACACGGCCCGCCCCTCCCGGGTACGGGGCTATGTTAACAAGACCCTAATTAATATTAATGAGGGCAGCCCCCGGCCCCGCCCCTCGGGGATCCCGGCATTTGCACGCCCCCTAATGAATATTAATGAAGGAAAACGACGGCCGCCATTGGTTTATACAGCCCCTCATGAATATTAATGAGGGCGAACACGGGCTCTATTGGCGGTCACGCCCCCTAATTAATATTAATGAGCCCGTCCTGCCCGGGGCCCTGATGAGCACCGAGTACCGGGTACCGGGCACCGAGTACCGGGTACCGGGCACCGAGTACCGGGTACCGGGCACCGGGTACCGGGCCCCGGCTGCTGTCCCCGCCCCGAGGCCGCTCCCCCGGGGATCCCGGTACCGGAGCCGCCCCGGCAGAGCCCCCCGGTGCTCCCGAGCCCCCCGTGCTCACCCTGGCTCCGGTGCCGGTGCCGGTTCCCCCCCGGCAGAGCCCCCCGGCCCGGCCCAGCGCCGTCCCCGCCGCCAGCAGCGCCAGCAGCGGCCACGGCGCCGCCATCTTGGAGCGCGGGGCACGGCGGGAACGGGGCGGGGCCATCGCCGGGGGCGGGGCTACGGCGGAGGGGGCGTGGACGCTGTGCCGAAATGGGCGTGGCCAGGGTGAGGGGAGGGGCTTCTGTGAGGGGGCGGGGCCAGCGCGGGGTTTTTCCCCCCCCCCCCCCAAATCCAGCCCGGGAACCCCCAGGACGGACAGAGGGAGGGGCAGCCCCGGGACACGGGTGGGGACCGGGACCGGGATCGGGACCGGGATCGGGATCGAGATTGGGATCGGGACCGGGACTGGGATTGGGATCGGGATCGGGATTGGGATCGAGATTGGGATCGAGATTGGGAACGGGACCGGGATCGAGATTGGGATCGGGATTGGAACCAGGACCGGGATTGGGATCAGGATCGGGATCGGGACGGGGATGGCAGCCCCGGGACACACAACGGGGGGCGGGAGCAGGAGCGGGATCGGCACCGGGACCGGGATCGGGATCAGTATTGGGATCGGGACCGGGACCGGGATCGGGATCAGTATTGGGATCGGGACCGGGACCGGGATCGGGATCAGTATTGGGATCGGGACCGGGACCGGGATCGGGATCAGTATTGGGATCGGGACCGGGACCGGGATCGGGATCAGTATTGGGATCGGGACCGGGACCGGGATCGGGATCAGTATTGGGATCGGGACCGGGACCGGGATCGGGATCGGGATCGGGATCGGGATTGGAACTGGCCCTGGGACTGGGGTCGGGGTCGGGATGGCAGCCCCGGGACACGGGTGGGGATAGAGATTGGGACTGGGATCGGGACCGGGACTGGGATTAGGACCGGCATTGGGATCCGGATCGGGATTGGCACCGGGACCGGGACTGGGATTGGAACCAGGATCGGGACCGGGATCGGGATTGGAACTGGCCCTGGGACTGGGGTCGGGGTCGGGATCGGGATGGCAGCCCCGGGACACGGGTGGGGATCGGGATTGGGATCGGGATTGGAACCAGGATTGGGATCGGGATCGGGATCGGGATCGGGACGGCAGCCCCGGGACACACAGCGGGGGCGGGATCAGGAGCAGGAGCGGGATCGGGACCGGGACCGGGACCGGGATCAGTAATTGGGATCGGGACCGGGACTGGGATTAGGGCCGGCATTGGGATCGGGATCGGGATTGGAACTGGCCCTGGGACTGGGGTCGGGGTCGGGATCGGGATGGCAGCCCCGGGACACGGGTGGGGATCGAGACTGGGATCGGGATGGGCACCGGGAGCGGGATCAGGACCGGGATCGTGATCGGGACTGGGATGGGGATCGGGATCAGGATTGGGGCTGGAATCGGGACTGGGACCGGCATCAGGATCGGGATTGGGATCGGGACTGGCACGGGGATGGGGATGGCAGCCCCGGGGGGATTGGGATCAGGATCGGGATCGGGACGGGGATGGCAGCCCCGGGACACACAACGGGGGGCGGGAGCAGGAGCGGGATCGGCACCGGGACCGGGATCGGGATCGGGATCGGGATCGGGATTGGGATTGGAACTGGGATTAGGGTCGAGGTCGGGGTCGGGGTCGGGATGGCAGCCCCGGGACACGGGTGGGGATAGAGATTGGGACTGGGATCGGGACCGGGACTGGGATTAGGACCGGCATTGGGATCCGGATCGGGATTGGCACCGGGACCGGGACTGGGATTAGTATTGGGATCGGGACCGGGATCGGGATTGGAACTGGCCCTGGGACTGGGGTCGGGGTCGGGATCGGGATGGCAGCCCCGGGACACGGGTGGGGATCGGGATTGGGATCGGGATTGGAACCAGGATTGGGATCGGGATCGGGATCGGGATCGGGACGGCAGCCCCGGGACACACAGCGGGGGCGGGATCAGGAGCAGGAGCGGGATCGGGACCGGGACCGGGACCGGGATCAGTAATTGCGATCGGGACCGGGACTGGGATTAGGGCCGGCATTGGGATCGGGATCGGGATTGGAACTGGCCCTGGGACTGGGGCGGAGGTCGGGGTCGGGACGGCAGCCCCGGGACACGGGTGGGGATCGAGACTGGGATCGGGATGGGCACCGGGAGCGGGAGCGGGATCAGGACCGGGATCGTGATCGGCTGCGGGATCGTGATCGGGATGGGGATCGGGATCAGGATTGGGGCTGGAATCGGGACTGGGACCGGCATCAGGATCGGGATTGGGATCGGGACTGGCACGGGGATGGGGATGGCAGCCCCGGGGGCGGGCGGGGAGCAGGACCGGGACCGGACCGGACCGGACCGGAGCGGGGCAGGGCCGGGCGGGGCCGGGCGGGGCAGCGGGCGGGGCGCTCACCTGGCAGGTGCCGGAGCCGCCCCCCGAGTGCTCCGCGCACACCTGGGGCGAGGCCGCGGCCCCGGAGCCGTCGCAGCGCTCGGGCTGGAGCAGCCGCACCTGCGCCTCCCACAGCACCTCCCGCGGCGGGGCTGGGGGGGCGGGCCGTGAGAGGGCACCTGGGGCACCTGGGCACACCTGGGGCACACCTGGGGCACACCTGGGGGACACCGAGCCCGCACCTGGGCACAACTGGGGGAGGGGCGCTCACCTGGCAGGTGCCGGAGCCGCCCCCCGAGTGCTCCGCGCACACCTGGGGCGAGGCCGCGGCCCCGGAGCCGTCGCAGCGCTCGGGCTGGAGCAGCCGCACCTGCGCCTCCCACAGCACCTCCCGCGGCGGGGCTGGGGGGGCGGGCCGTGAGAGGGCACCTGGGGCACCTGGGCACACCTGGGGCACACCTGGGGCACACCCACCCCGCACCTGGGCACAACTGGGGCACACCTGGGCACAACTGGGGCACACCTGGGGCACACCTGGGGCGCCTGGGGCACACCTGGGGCACACCTAGGGCACACCTGGGGCACCTGGGCACACCTGGATCACACCCACCCAGCACTTGGGCACACCTGGGGCACCTGGACACACCTGGGGCACACCCACCCAGCACCTGGGCACAACTGGGCACACCTACCCCGCACCTGGGCACACCTGGGCACACCTACCCTGCACCTGGGCTCACCTGTGCCCAGCTCAGCCCCACCTGGGGCTCACCTGTGCCCATGTCAGGCACACCTGGGGCTCACCTGTGCCCGTCATGGACACACCTGGGCTCACCTGTGCCCACCTCAGGCACACCTGGCGCTCACCTGTGCCCATGCCAGCCCCGCCCAGCGCTCACCCGTGTCCTCCACGCGGCCCCAGCCCGCGATGTAGCAGCGCTGCAGCCCCCGCGGCGGCCCGGCCTCGCTGACGCAGCCCAGCTGCACGAAGTCGCTGCATTCTGCGGGCGGCTGCAGCTGCAGCAGCGCCACGTCCAGCCCCGGGTGCCGCCGCGCCCGCAGCACCCGCCGCACCTGCGCCTCGGGCCCGGGGTCGCTGAGGTCGGCGGCGCCCAGCACCACCCGCCAGGCGCTGACGTTCCTGCGGACACGGCACCGTCAGGGGAGCCGGCCCGGGGCACGGCACGGGGGGCGCCTGGGGGGCATCCCGGGACATCACGGGACGTCACGGGACATCCCAGAGCATCCCGGGGACATCCAGAGACATCCCAGGGACATCCCAGAGCTTCCCGGGGACATCCCAGAGCATCCCAGGGACATCCCGGGACATCCCAGAGCATCCCGGGACGTCCCAGAGCTTCCCAAGGGCATCCTGGGACACCCTGAGGGCATCTCGGGACATCACGGGGATATCCCGAGACATCCAGGGACATCCCAGAGCTTCCCGTGGGCATCCAGGGACATCCCAGGGACATCCCAGAGCTTCCCGGGGACATCCCAGGACATCCCAAGGGCATCCCGAGGCCATCCCGGGGGCATCCCAGGACATCCCAGGATATCCCAGAGCATCCCGGGGGCATCCCGGGACATCCCAGAGCTTCCCGGGGACATCACGGGGACATCCCAAGGGCATCCTGAGGCCATCCCGGGACATCCCGCATCCAGATAGTCCCAGAGTTTTCTAGGGCCATCCCGGGGACATCCCGAGAGCATCCCGAGGGCATCCCGGGACATCCCGCATCTTCCTGGGGCCATCCCGGATAGTCCCAGGGACACCCCAAGGCCATCCCAGATAGTCCCAGAGCTTCCCGAGGCCATCCCAGGGACATCCCGGAGCTTTCCGGGGCCATCCCGGGGCCATCCCGGATCATCCCAGCCCATCCTGGAGCCTCCTGGCACCTCCTAGAGCTCCCCAGGACCATCCTGGATCATCCTGGAGCCAACCCGGATCATCCCGGGCCCATCCCGGGGATATCCCGAGTCCATCCCAGCCCCATCCCAGCCCCATCTTGGCTCCATCCCAGCACATCCCACTCCATCCTGGCCCATCCTGGGTCCATCCTGGGCCATCCCAGCCCCATCCCGTGCCCATCCCGGGGATATCCCGTGCCCATCCCGGGTGTATCCCGTGCCCATCCCGTGCCCATCCCGGGTGTATCCCGTGCCCATCCCGTGCCCATCCCGGGTGTATCCCGTGCCCATGCCGTGCTCACCCCGTGCCCACCCCGTGCCCACCCCGTGCCCACCCGGTGCCCACCGCGGCCGTGCCGCTCACCGGGCGCGGGGCAGGCAGCGGGCGGCCGTGAGCAGCCAGCCGGGGGCGATCAGGCTCCCGCCGCAGACGTGGCCGCTGCCGGCCCGCAGCGGGTCCTGGATGCTCGCCAGCCCCGGCCAGGCCCCGGCAACGGCCCCGGAGCCGCCGCCGAACTCCCGTGCCCACCCCGTGCCCACCCCGTGCCCACCCGGTGCCCACCGCGGCCGTGCCGCTCACCGGGCGCGGGGCAGGCAGCGGGCGGCCGTGAGCAGCCAGCCGGGGGCGATCAGGCTCCCGCCGCAGACGTGGCCGCTGCCGGCCCGCAGCGGGTCCTGGATGCTCGCCAGCCCCGGCCAGGCCCCGGCAACGGCCCCGGAGCCGCCGCCGAACTCCTCGGCCATGGGCTGCAGACCGCAGGTACCGCTGGGGACAGCGACAGCCGTGGGGACAGGGACAGAGGGACAGGGACACGGGGACAGGGATGGGGACAGGGACAGCCGTGGGGACACAGGGGACAGGAGCGCCCACCCCGAAACTGCATTCCCAAAACTCCCATCCCGAAACTGCCATCCCAAAACTGCATTCCCAAAATTCCCATTCCAAAACTCCTATCCCAAAACTTCCCATCCCAAAACTCCCATCCCGAAACTCCCATCCAAAAACTCCCATCCTAAAACTGCATTCCCAAAACTCCCACCCCAAAATTCCCATCCCAAAACTGCATTCCCAAAAGTCCCACCCCAGAATTGCATTCTCAAAACTCCCATCCCAAAAATTCCCATTCCAGAATTTCATTCCCAAAATTCCCATCCCGAAACTCCCATCCCAAAATTCCCATCCCAGAACTGCATTCCCAAAATTCCTATCCCAAAAATTCCCATTCCAGAATTTCATTCCCAAAATTCCCATCCCGAAACTCCCATCCCAAAATTCCCATCCCAGAACTGCATTCCCAAAATTCCCATCCCAAAACTCCCATCCCAAAAATTCCCATTCCAGAATTCCCATCCCAAAATTCACATCCAAAAATTCCCTTCCCAAAATTTCCATCCCAAAAATCCCACCCCCGAAATTCCCATTTTCACCCCAAAATCTCTGTTTGCAAACAGGGGAAGATTCTCGGCAGAGAATTTATTTTTATTTTTACAAAAATACATTTTCTGTTTGTAAACAGGACACGGCTTTCAGAAGAGAATTTATTTTTATTCTTACAAAAATACATTTGTCTGTCTGCAACCGGGGGAAGGTTCTCAGTGGGGAGTTCATTTTTATTTTTATTTATTTTATTTTTAAAAAATCAATTTTTCTCTTGGTGAACAAGGGAAGGTGCTCAGCATTTATTTTTATTTTTATTTTTATTTTTATTTTTATTTTTATTTTTATTTTTATTTTTATTTTTATTTTTATTTTTATTTTATTTGTTTTTATTTTATTTTTATCTCCCCAGAGCTCCATTCCCCCGCAGCCGGGTTCAGGGCCCCTTTTTCAGGCTCTCCAGGAAGAGCCGCTCGCTCTCCAGGAAATCGTGGTCCTGGGGGGGGCACATTCCCACAATCCCAAACCCATTCCCACAATCCCAAACCCATTCCCCAATTCCAAGCCATTTCCCATAATCCCAAACCCATTCCCACAGTCCCAAACCCCTCCCACAGTCCCAAACCCATTCCCCAATCCCAAACCCACTCCCCCAATCCCAAACCCATTTCCCAATCCCAAACCCATTCCCCATTCCCAAACCCATTCCCACAATCCCAAACCCTTTCCCCCAATCCCAAACCCATTCCCTCAATCCCAAACCCATTCCCCCATTCCCAATCCCCTTTCCCAGACAATCCCAAACCCTTTCCCAGACAATCCCAAACCCTAGGTGTGTGACACCCGGGTGTGTGTCACCCCCAGGTGTGTGTGTGTCACCCAGGTGTGTGACACCCCCCCGGGTGTGTGTGACACCCAGGTGTGTGACACCCCCCAGGTGTGTGACACCCAGGTGTGTGACCCAGGTGTGTGTGTGTCACCCAGGTGTGTGACACCCCCCCGGGTGTGTGTGACACCCAGGTGTGTGACACCCCCCAGGTGTGTGACACCCAGGTGTGTGACCCCCAGGTGTGTGTGTCACCCAGGTGTGTGACCCCCAGGTGTGTGTGTCACCCAGGTGTGTGACACTCCCCCAGGTGTGTGTGTCACCCCCCAGGTGTGTGTGACACCCAGGTGTGTGACCCCAGCGCTGTCCCTGTCCCCATCCATGTCCCCATACCCAGCTCTGTCCCTGTCCCCACCGGTGTCCCCATACCCGGCAGTGTCCCCTGCGCTGTCCCCAGCAGTGTCCCTGTCCCTGGCAGTGTCCCCAGCACTATCCCCATACCCAGCACTGTCCCTGTCCCCAGCACTGTCCCCAGTGGTGTCCCCATACCCAACAGTGTCCCTGTACCCAGCAGTGTCCCCAGCACTGTTCCTGTCCCCGGTGGTGTCCCCATCCCCAGTACTGTACCCATCCCTGGCAATGTCCCTGTCCCCAGTAGTGTCCCTGTCCCTGACAGTGTCCCTGGCAGTGTCCCCAGCACTATCCCCATACCCAGCGCTGTCCCTGTCCCCAGTGGTGTCCCCATACCTGGCAGTGTCCCCATACCCAGCAGTGTCCCCTGCGCTGTCCCCAAAAGTGCCCCTGTCCCTGGCAGTGTCCCCAGCATTGTCCCTGTCCCCAGTGGTGTCTCCATCCCTAGCAGTGTCCCTGTCCCCTGCACCATCTGTCCCCAGTGCTGTCCCCATACCCAGCACTGTCCCCATCCCCAGCAGTGTCCCCAGTGCTCTCTCTGTACCCAGTGGCGTCCCCAGCGCTGTCCCCAGCTCTGTCCCTGTCCCTGGCAGTGTCCCCAGCAGTGTCCCTGGGTGTGTGTCACCCCCAGGTGTGTGTGTGTCACCCAGGTGTGTGACACCCCCCCGGGTGTGTGTGACACCCAGGTGTGTGACACCCCCCAGGTGTGTGACACCCAGGTGTGTGACCCCCAGGTGTGTGTGTCACCCAGGTGTGTGACACTCCCCCAGGTGTGTGTGTCACCCCCCAGGTGTGTGTGACACCCAGGTGTGTGACACCCCCCAGGTGTGTGACACCCAGGTGTGTGACCCCCAGGTGTGTGTGTCACCCAGGTGTGTGACCCCCAGGTGTGTGTGTCACCCAGGTGTGTGACACTCCCCCAGGTGTGTGTGTCACCCCCCAGGTGTGTGTGACACCCAGGTGTGTGACCCCAGCGCTGTCCCTGTCCCCATCCATGTCCCCATACCCAGCTCTGTCCCTGTCCCCACCGGTGTCCCCATACCCGGCAGTGTCCCCTGCGCTGTCCCCAGCAGTGTCCCTGTCCCTGGCAGTGTCCCCAGCACTATCCCCATACCCAGCACTGTCCCTGTCCCCAGCACTGTCCCCAGTGGTGTCCCCATACCCAACAGTGTCCCTGTACCCAGCAGTGTCCCCAGCACTGTTCCTGTCCCCGGTGGTGTCCCCATCCCCAGTACTGTACCCATCCCTGGCAATGTCCCTGTCCCCAGTAGTGTCCCTGTCCCTGACAGTGTCCCTGGCAGTGTCCCCAGCACTATCCCCATACCCAGCGCTGTCCCTGTCCCCAGTGGTGTCCCCATACCTGGCAGTGTCCCCATACCCAGCAGTGTCCCCTGCGCTGTCCCCAAAAGTGCCCCTGTCCCTGGCAGTGTCCCCAGCATTGTCCCTGTCCCCAGTGGTGTCTCCATCCCTAGCAGTGTCCCTGTCCCCTGCACCATCTGTCCCCAGTGCTGTCCCCATACCCAGCACTGTCCCCATCCCCAGCAGTGTCCCCAGTGCTCTCTCTGTACCCAGTGGCGTCCCCAGCGCTGTCCCCAGCTCTGTCCCTGTCCCTGGCAGTGTCCCCAGCAGTGTCCCTGCCCCCAGCGCTGTCCCTGCCCCCAGCTCTGTCCCTGTCCCCAGCAGTGTCCCTGCCCCCAGCTCTGTCCCTGGCAGTGTCCCCAGCAGTGTCCCTGTCCCCAGCAGTGTCCCTGTCCCCAGCAGTGTCCCCAGCTCTGTCCCTGTCCCTGGCAGTGTCCCTGTCCCCAGCTCTATCGCTGTCACCAGCTCTGTCCCTGTCCCCAGCAGTGTCCCTGTCCCCAGGGGTGTCCCTGTCCCCAGCGCTGTCCCTGTCCCCAGCGCTGTCCCCAGCTCTGTCCCTGTCCCCAGCAGTGTCCCTGTCCCCAGCGCTGTCCCTGTCCCCAGCGCTGTTGGGAGGGGGATTTCCTGGCAGGGGGATTTCCTGGGAGGGGGATTTCCTGGGAGGGGGGAATTCCTGGGAGGGGGATTTCCTGGCAGGGGGACTTGCCTGCGTCAGGCGCTGCTCCTGCTGCCGCAGCCGCTCCTGCAGCTCCTGCAGCTCCTGCAGCCGCTGCTGCAGCTCCTGCTGCGCCCTGCGCGCCTCCCGCAGCGCCCGCTGCCCGTCCTGCTGCTGCCGCGCCGAGCGCTGCGGGCCGAGCGGGACCGGAGTGGGAACGGGAACGGGAACGGGGAATGGGAATGGGGAATGGGAATGGGATCGGGGAATGGGAAAGGGAACAGGGTACGGGGAATGGGGAACGGGAATGGGGAATGGGAATGGGATCGGGAACGGGAGTGGGGAAGGGGAATGGGAAAGGGAATGGGATTAAGAACAGGGAATGGGAATGGGAACAGGAATAGGGAATGAGAATGGGAGTGGGAACAGGGAATGGGAATGGGGAATGGGAACACGAACGGGGAATGGGAACAGGAACGGGGAATGGGCACAGGAATGGGGAATAGTAACAGGAATGGGAATGGGAACAGGCATGGCAATGGGATGCGGAATGGGAATGGGAACAGGAACAGGGAATGGGGAATGAGAACAGGATCGGGAATGGGGAATGAGAATGGGAGTGGCAACAGGGAATGGGAACGGGGAACGGGGATGGGAATGGGATAGGGAATGGAAATGGGAAGAGGGAGTGGGAACGGGGAATGGGAACGGGAACAAGGAATGGGAACGTGAACAGGGAATGGGATAGGGAATGGGAATGGGACAGGGAATGGGAACAGGAACGGGATGGGGAATGGGAATGGGATGGGGAATGGCAATGGGATGGGGAACGGGGAACTGGAATGGAGAACGGGAATGGGGAAAAGGACTGGGAAGGGGAATGGGACCGGGAACAGTGTCGGGATAAGGGGATGTGGAGCCCCAGCTCTGCTCCTGGCTGGAACTCCAGCCCGGATGCTCCGTTTACCTCAGCCAGGTCACGGATCTCCTCCTCCCGCTCCTGCAGGCGCTGCTCGGCCCTCAGAACCTTCTCCTTCTCCAGCCTCAGCTCCCGCCAGGCCTCGTCCAGCTCCTCCCTGTCCCTGGCCAGCTGCTCCTCCTTGGATCTCAGCTCCCGGCTCCGGAACTTCAGCTCTGCCTGATCCTGGGGGGACACAGGGTCACCGTCCCGTCCTTTGGAGCTGGGGGGGGTGGTTTGGGACCCCAGTCCCCATCGGGGACCTTGGCCAGGCTCCTCAGCGCCGCGTCCACGCCCAGGGCGCGCTCCTTGTGCTGCTCCTCCCGCTCGCGGCTCAGGCTCTCCCGCGAGCGGAGCTCGGCCCAGGCGGCCGCCAGCCGCCGCCGCTCCTCGGAGCGCCCGCGCAGCTCCGCCTGCTGCTCCTCCAGCCACGCGCCCTGCGGGCCGGGACAGCTCCAGGCACCCCTTCCGCAGGGCTTGCCCTCCTTTGGCCCGGCCTTGCTGCTCCCAGAGGCAAAGTCCAGAGGCTGCTTCCAGCCGGGAGCTTCGGTCCCGTGTGGGCATCCAGGGGGCTCGACCTGGCCTGTTCCGAGCCCCTTCCAGCCCCCAGCCCTGCTCCGAGCCCCCTGCAGCCCCCAGCCCTGCTCCGAGCCCCTTCCAGCCCCCAGCCCTGCTCCGAGCCCCCTGCAGCCCCCAGCCCTGCTCCCACCCTGGCCTGTTCTGAGCCATTTTCCCAGCCCTGCTCCCACCCTGGCCTGTTCCGAGCCCCCTCCAGCCCCCAGCCCTGTTCCCATCCAGCTGGTCCCGAACCCTTTTCCCAGCCCTGCTCTCACCTGGCTGGTCCTGAGCCCCTTTCCCAGTCCCACTCCCATCCTGGCTGGTTCTGAGCCTTTTTCCCAGTCCCACTCCTGCCCAGATGATTCCAAGCCCCTTCCAGCTCCCACCTGGCTGGTTCTGAGCCCCTTCCAGTTCCCACCTGGCTGGTTCCGAGCCCTTTTCCCAGTCCTGGCTGTTTCTGAGCCCCATCCCAGTCCCCCCCAGCCCCATCCCAGTCACTCCCAGAGCGGGTCCAGGCCCCACCCCGGCATTCCCAGCGGTTCCAGGGAAGCTGCAGCCCCTCCCTGCCCCGGGCTCACCCGAGCTCACCCGAGCTCACCCGGGGCCGTGTCCCCGCTCACCTGGGGCCGTGTCCCCGCTCACCCGGGGCCGTGTCCCCGCTCACCCGGGGCCGTGTCCCCGCTCACCTGGGGCCGTGTCCCCGCTCACCTTGGCACCTGGCTGGTTCCGAGCCCTTTTCCCAGTCCTGGCTGTTTCTGAGCCCCATCCCAGTCCCCCCCAGCCCCATCCCAGTCACTCCCAGAGCGGGTCCAGGCCCCACCCCGGCATTCCCAGCGGTTCCGGGGAAGCTGCAGCCCCTCCCTGCCCCGGGCTCACCCGGGCTCACCTGGGGCCGTGTCCCCGCTCACCCGGGGCCGTGTCCCCGCTCACCTGGGGCCGTGTCCCCGCTCACCTTGGCCTCGTCCAGCGCCGCCCTCTCCATGGCCAGCAGCTGAGCCGAGAGCCGCCGCTGCTCCTCCAGCGCCTCCCGCAGCGAATCCGCCCGGCTGCGCTCGGCAGCGGCGCGGCGGCGCTCCTGGGGAGGGACGGGGACACGGTGGGGACAGGGATGGGGACAGGGACAGGGACAGGGATAGGGACAGGGACATAGGATAGGGGCAGAGACATGGGGGCGCTCCTGGGGAGGGACGGGGACACGGTGGGGACAGGGATGGGGACACAGAGACAGGGATGGGGACAGGGATGGGGACGGGGACAGGGACAGGGATGGGGACAGGGACAGGGATGGGGACAGGGACACAGAGACAGGGATAGGGACAGGAACGGGGACAGGGACAGAGTGGGGAGAGGGACGGGGCAGAGACAGGGGACAGGGACATGGAGACAGCAACAGGGACGGGGACAGGGACAGGGACAGGGACAGGGACAGGGACATGGAATGGGGACAGGGACACAGGGACAGGGACATGCGATAGGGGCAGAGACATGGGATAGGGACACGGTGACAACAACAGGGATGGGAACAGGGACAGGTTGGGGACAGGGACAGAGACAGGGGATAGGGATGGGGACAGGGACATGAGATAGGGAGAGGGACAGGTGACAGGTACAGGGGGCAGGGACAGACACAGGGATGGGGGCAGGGACAGGAGAACAGGGACAGGGGAGAGGGGACAGGGACACGGGATAGAGGACAGGGACAGGGGATAGGGATGGGGACAGGGACAGAGACAGGGGAGAGGGATGGGGACAGGGACAGAGACAGGGGAGAGGGATGGGGACAGGGACAGAGACAGGGGAGAGGGATGGGGACAGGGACAGAGACAGGGGAGAGGGATGGGGACAGGGACAGAGACAGGGGAGAGGGATGGGGACAGGGACAGAGACAGGGGAGAGGGATGGGGACAGGGACAGAGACAGGGGAGAGGGATGGGGACAGGGACAGAGACAGGGGAGAGGGATGGGGACAGGGACAGAGACAGGGGATAGGGATAGGGACAGGGGACATACGACACAGACATGAATAGTGACAGGGACAGGAGACAGGGACAGATATGGGGTCAGGAGACAGGAACACGAGGACAGGGGACATGGGACAAGGATATGGGACACAGGTACAGGGATGGGGAGAGGGACAGGGGTACACAGGACAGACACATGGACAGGGGACACGGGACACAAATATGGACAGGGACACAGGCAAGGACATGGGACATGGACACGGGCAGGGACATGGACACAGACACAGCTCCAGGAGGAGATCCCAGCAGGAAGCTCCTCCAGCCAGGCACAGACATGGACACAGACACGGGCAGGGACATGGGACATGGACACGGGCAGAGACACAGCCATGGCCACGGCCACGGCTTCAGGACAGGCCCCAAGCTGTGGGATGGGGCCTCACCTGCTCCAGGAGCTGCTCCCGCTCCGCCAGCCTGGTCTCCAAGTCAGCCACGGCCTCCTGGAGCCGGCTCTGCTCCCGCTCCGCGTCCCGCTGTTGCCGGCACAGCCGGGCCTGGAGCGCTGCGAGGGCACGGGGCAGGCGGCATGCAGGAGCTGGGATCCCCCTCCATCCTCAGGGAGGTCCCACAGGGAAAACCCCCGCGTTCCTGCTGCATCCCATCCCAGGACAGGAGATCCCACAGGGAAAACCCCCGCGTTCCTGCTGCATCCCATCCCAGGACAGGAGATCCCACATGGAAACCCCCCGTGCTCCTGCTGCATCCCATCCCAGGACAGGACAACCCTGCAAGCAAAAATCAATGGACATTCTGTGGATTCAGAAGCATGTTTGCCAACACTCCGTGTACGTGCCTGATAGCAGAAGCACACTGCCCTTGGGCAGCCAGCATGAGAAAGTTTGCCAACTGCATCCAAGGGAAGAGGATGTGAAAGAACATGGTCTGAAAGATGCTAGCAGAGGATGTGAAGATGTTCTACTGATATTGCTGACAAGCTGAGCTATGTGACCAAGATATGTTTAAGAAATGCTCTTTGTTTTATGCGCAGTGCTTTGTTAACCAATCAGATACTTTCCCTGTCACTTGAACGCTGGATAACCATATAAATGGACCCTGAACTTAACAACAAATGAGCATTGATCATACTTCTATGAAGATTTGATCTTTGACTCCGGAGGCTCCTCTTCCCTTTCCCCCCTACCTCCAGTCTCTCTTTCAAGAATGTGCTGGGCTCTGGAAGGGGTTCTGCAGGCAACGTGCCCAGGGGAGAGACCACCACTGGCCTCACTTCTCTCAGGGATAACACATCCCACCCCATCCCACCCCATCCCATCCCAAGGACTTTGCCAGCCTTGGCTCCCTTGCTCGCCAGGGGCAACTTGAATTCTGTGAATTCTGCAAATTCTGCGAATTCTGTGAATTCAATTAATTTCATTAATTCTGCAAATTCAGTGAATTCTGTGACTTCTGTGAATTTTGAGAATTCTGCAAATTCCATTAATTCTGTGAATTCTGCAAATTCTGTGAGTTCAATTAATTTCATGAATTCTGCAAATTCCGTGAATTCTGTGGCTTCCGTTAATTCTGCAAATTCAGTGAATTCTGTGACGTCCACGAATTCTGAGAATTCTGCAAATTCCATTAATTCTGTGAATTCTGCAAATTCAGTGAATTCCACGAATCCCACGAATTCTGTGAATTCTGCAAATTCAGTGAATTCTGTAGCTTCCGTGAATTCTGCAAATTCAGTGAATTCTGTGGCTTCCGTGAATTCTGCAAATTCAGTGAATTCTGTGACGTCCACGAATTCTGAGAATTCTGCAAATTCCATTAATTCTGTGAATTCTGCAAATTCAGTGAATTCTGTGGCTTCCATGAATTCTGCAAATTCAGTGAATTCTGTGACGTCCACGAATTCTGAGAATTCTGCAAATTCCATTAATTCTGCGAATTCTACAAATTCTGTGAATTCCACGAATCCCACGAATTCTGTGAACTCTGTGAATTCTGAGAATTTTGTGAACTTTTCCATTTCCTGGGGATCCGGTGGGATCCCGGACGGAGCCGAGCCCCTGTTCGAGCGCCACTGGCCACTCGGACCAGCAGAGCCCCTGGCCAGGAGTGCCCCCAGGAGGGCTGGGACAGGGATCTACAGGCCCAGGGATCCTTCTGGACACCAGGATTTGTCCCAGGACCGTCTGGATTCCGTGGGATCGGCTCTGAGCACTTGGGATGGAGCAGAGGGTCCCACTGGAATGATGCGCTCGGAGGGAATTTACCTGTGAGCTGCTCGTCCTGCTCCTGGGATCTGGAGTGGTCCTGGGGCCTGGGGTGATCCTGGGGCCTGGGGTGATCCTGGGATCCGGGGTGATCCTGGGGTCTGGTGGGATCCAGGGATCTGGAGTGAACCTGGGGTCTGGAATGATCCTGGGGTCTGGGGTGATCCTGGGGTCTGGGGTGATCCTGGGATCTGGAGTGATCCAGGGATCTGGGGTGATCCTGGGGTCTGGTGGGATCCAGGGATCTGGAGTGAACCTGGGGTCTGGAATGATCCTGGGGCCTGGGGTGATCCTGGCGTCTGGGGTGACCCAGGGATTTGGAGTGAACCTGGAGTCTGGGGTGATCCTGGGATCTGGAATGAACCTGGGGTCTGAGGTGATCCAGGGATCTGGAGTGATCCAGGGATCCGGGGTGATCCTGGGGTCTGGGGTGATCTTGGGATCTGGAGTGATCCAGGGATCTGGAGTGAACCTGGGGTCTGGGGTGATCCTGGATTCTGGGGATGACCCTGGGGTCTGGGGTGATCCTGGGGTCTGGGGTGATCCAGGGATCTGGGGTGACCCAGGAATCTGGAGTGAACCTGGGGTCTGGAATGATCCTGGATTCTGGGGATGACCCTGGGATCAGGGGTGATCCTGGGGTCTGGGGTGATCCAGGGATCTAGGGTGAACCAGGATGATTCTGGGATCTGGGGTGATCCTGGGATCTGGGGTGATCCTGTGCCCCGGGGTGATCCAGGGGTCGGGGTGATCCAGGGATCTGGAGTGATCCCGGGATCTGGGGTGAACAAGGATGATCCTGGGGTCTGGGGTGGTTCCGGGATCAGGGGTAATCCTGGGGTCTGGGGTGATCCTGCGGTCTGGAATGATCCTGGGTTCTGGGGATGACCCTGGTGTCTGGGGTGATCCTGGATTCTGGGGATGACCCTGGGATCTGGAGTGATCCAGGGATCTAGGGTGATCCAGGGATCCGGGGTGATGCTGGGATCTGGGGTGACGCAGGGATTTGGGGTGACCCAGGGATTTGGGGTGATCCAGGGATCCGGGGTGATCCTGGGGTCTGGAATGATCCAGGGGTCTGGGGTGACCCTGGGGTCTGGGGTGCTCCAGGGATTTGGGGTAACCCTGGAATCTGGGGTGATTCTGTGCTCTGGGGTGATCCTGTGCCCCGGGGTGATCCTGGGGTGATCCTGGGGTGCGGGGTGATTCTGGCAGGATCTGGGGTGATCCTGGGGTGCAGGTTGATCCTTGCAGGATCTGGGGTGATCCTGTGCCCCAGGGTGATCCTGGGGTGATCCTGGGGTGCAGGGTGATCCTGGCAGGATCTGGGGTGATCCCGTGCCCCGGGGTGATCCAGGGAAGGAGCAGGGAACTGGGAGCACAGGTGAGACCCCGTTTGTTACCTGTGGCAGCTCTCCGGGAGCTCCTGCAGGACCGGTGCCCGCCGTGCCCGCTCCAGCTCCAGCGTCCGCACCTGGGGGGAGCGGGACAGGCTGCAGGTGCCACCCTGGGGACAGGCTGTGGGTGCCACCCTGGGGACAGGCTGCGGGTGCCACCCTGGGCACAGGCTGCAGCTGCCACCCTGGGGACGGGCTGTGGGTGCCACCCTGGGGACGGGCTGTGGGTGCCACCCTGGGGACAGGCTGTGGGTGCCACCCTGGGGATGGGCGCAGGTGGCACCCTGGGGACAGGCTGTGGGTGCCACCCGATCTGGAGTGAACCTGGGGTCTGGAATGATCCTGGGGTCTGGGGTGATCCTGGGGTCTGGGGTGATCCTGGGATCTGGAGTGATCCAGGGATCCGGGGTGATCCTGGGGTCTGGGGTGATCCTGGGATCTGGAGTGATCCAGGGATCTGGGGTGACCCAGGAATCTGGAGTGAACCTGGGGTCTGGAATGATCCTGGGGTCTGGGGTGATCCTGGGGTCTGGGGTGATCCTGGGATCTGGAGTGATCCAGGGATCCGGGGTGATCCTGGGGTCTGGGGTGATCCTGGGATCTGGAGTGATCCAGGGATCTGGAGTGAACCTGGGGTCTGGGGTGATCCTGGATTCTGGGGATGACCCTGGGGTCTGGGGTGATCCTGGGGTCTGGGGTGATCCTGGGATCTGGAGTGATCCAGGGATCCGGGGTGATCCTGGGGTCTGGGGTGATCCTGGGATCTGGAGTGATCCAGGGATCTGGGGTGACCCAGGAATCTGGAGTGAACCTGGGGTCTGGAATGATCCTGGGGTCTGGTGGGATCCAGGGATCTGGAGTGAACCTGGGGTCTGGGGTGATCCTGGATTCTGGGGATGACCCTGGGATCTGGAGTGATCCAGGGATCTAGGGTGATCCAGGGATCCGGGGTGATGCTGGGATCTGGGGTGACGCAGGGATTTGGGGTGACCCAGGGATTTGGGGTGATCCAGGGATCCGGGGTGATCCTGGGGTCTGGAATGATCCAGGGGTCTGGGGTGACCCTGGGGTCTGGGGTGCTCCAGGGATTTGGGGTAACCCTGGAATCTGGGGTGATTCTGTGCTCTGGGGTGATCCTGTGCCCCGGGGTGATCCTGGGGTGATCCTGGGGTGCGGGGTGATTCTGGCAGGATCTGGGGTGATCCTGGGGTGCAGGGTGATTCTGGGAGGATCTGGGGTGATCCTGGGGTGCAGGTTGATCCTGGCAGGATCTGGGGTGATCCTGTGCCCCAGGGTGATCCTGGGGTGATCCTGGGGTGCAGGGTGATCCTGGCAGGATCTGGGGTGATCCCGTGCCCCGGGGTGATCCAGGGAAGGAGCAGGGAACTGGGAGCACAGGTGAGACCCCGTTTGTTACCTGTGGCAGCTCTCCGGGAGCTCCTGCAGGACCGGTGCCCGCTGTGCCCGCTCCAGCTCCAGCGTCCGCACCTGGGGGGAGCGGGACAGGCTGCAGGTGCCACCCTGGGGACAGGCTGCGGGTGCCACCCTGGGGACAGGCTGCGGGTGCCACCCTGGGGACAGGCTGTGGGTGCCACCCTGGGGACGGGCTCCAGGTGCCACCCTGGGGACAGGCTGCGGGTGCCACCCTGGGGACAGGCTGTGGGTGCCACCCTGGGGACAGGATGCAGGTGCCACTCTGGGGACAGGCTGTGGGTGCCACCCTGGGGACAGGATGCAGGTGCCACTCTGGGGACAGGCTGTGGGTGCCACCCTGGGGACGGGCTGTGGGTGCCACTCTGGGGACAGGCTGTGGGTGCCACCCTGGGGACGGGGCTCCCGCAGCCACCTCCAGTTCCCCGTGTGGCCAGGGTCCCACAGGTGACCCCCCAGGTGACACCCTCAGGTGACACCCCCAGGTGACCCCCCCAGCCCCCACCTGGCTCTCCAGCTCCTCCAGCCGGGCCTGGAGGCTCTGCAGGGCGATCCCACAGCCGGGATGCTGCTGGCACGGGTGGGATTGGAGAGTTTGGGAATCCTGGTGGGGCCGGGATGGGAGAGCTCCCAGATCCTCCTGGTGGGGCCGGGAAGGGAGAGCTCCCAGATCCTCCTGGTGGGGCTGGGATGGGAGAGATCCCAGATCCTCCTGGTGGGGCTGGGATGGGAGAGCTCCCAGATCCTCCTGGTGGGGCTGGGATGGGAGAGCTCCAGGACCCTCGTGGTGCCTCCAGGCCGGGAAAGCTGCGGGATGCTCCGGGCAGAGCCTCCTGCTGGGGCCGGGATGGGAGAGATCCCAGATCCTCCTGCTGGGGCCGGGATGGGAGAGATCCCAGATCCTCCTGCTGGGGCCGGGATGGGAGAGATCCCAGATCCTCCTGCTGGGGCCGGGATGGGAGAGATCCCAGATCCTCCTGCTGGGGCCGGGATGGGAGAGATCCCAGATCCTCCTGCTGGGGCTGGGATGGGAGAGATCCCAGATCCTCCTGGTGGGGCCGGGATGGGAGAGATCCCCGATCCTCCTGGTGGGGCTGGGATGGGAGAGCTCCAGGACCCTCGTGGTGCCTCCAGGCCGGGAAAGCTGCGGGATGCTCCGGGCAGAGCCAGGACGGGAGAGTTCTGGGATTCTCCGGGCGGGACGGGGCTGAAGGAATTGCCAGATCCTCCTGCGGGGACACAGGGATGCTCCAGGAGAGGCCTGGGAAGGTCAGCTCCCCTCTGCTGGGAATGCTGATCCATGCCCAGCCCCCCCAGATCCCAAGGGATCCCCAGGGATGCTCCCTGCTCCTGCCCCAGCACCCACCTGAGCGGGCGTGGCAGGACCCGGCACCTCCTGCACAGCTGGGGTGGAAAACGGGACAAATCCATCACTGGGACACACGGAAGGAACGGAACCGTCCCATCCCATGGATCCCATCCCACGGATCCCATCCTATCCCATTATCCCCTCCCATCCAGCCCCATCCCATGGATCTCATCCCATGGATCCCACCCCACTGATCCCGTCCCATCCCATGGATCCCATTATCCCACCACATCCAGCCCCATCCCATGGATCCCATCCCATGGATCCCATCCAATCATTCCCATCCCATCCCATCCCATGGATCCCATTGTCCCATCCCATCCCATTTTATCCCATTATCCCACCACATCCAGCCCCATCCCATGGATCCAATCCCATGCATCCCACCCATCCTATCCCATGGATCCTATCCCATGGATCCTATTCATCCCATGGATTGGATCCCATCCCATGGATCCTTTCCCATGGATCCCATCCCATGGATCCCATCCCATCCCATATGATCTCATTGATCCCAAACCATTAATCCCATCAATCCCATGGATCCCATCCCATTATCCCGCCATCCCATTACCCTGTTATCTCATTTTCCATCCCATTATCCCATCCTGTTATCCCATTATCCCACTATCCCGTTATCCTGTTATCCTATTATCCTGTTTTATCCCAATATCCCATTATCCTGTTATCCCATTATCCTGTTATCCCATTATCCTGTTATCCCATTATCCCACTATCCCGTTATCCTGTTATCCTATTATCCTGTTTTATCCCAATATCCCACACCGTTATCCCATCATCCTGTTATCCCATTATCCCACTATCCCGTTATCCTGTTTTATCCCAATATCCCATGATCCCCCCAGTCCCAGAGGGGGTCCCCAGTGTCCCCTGCCCTGCCCAGGTGACCTCCGAGGACACCTGGGGGTGACAGAGGCCTCACCTGCTGCCACCTGCCCGCGGGGGCGTGTCCCGAGGGGCGGCTCCAGCCTGGGGGGGACAAATCCCACGGGAGGGTCAGGGGGGCAGGGACCCCCAGCCCGGCCTGGCCTGCGTCACCTGGGTCACCTGGGGCACCTGTGCCACCTGGGTCACCTGTGCCTCCCGGGTCACCTGGGCCATCTGGGTCCCCTGGGTCCCCTGTGCCACCTGTGTCACCTGTGCTGCGCCACCTGGGTCATCTGTGTTACCTGGGTCACCTCTGTCACCTGTATCACCTGAGTCACCTGTGCTGTGCCACCTGTACTGTGCCACCTGTCCCACCTGTGTCACCTGTGCTGCGCCACCTGGGTCATCTGTGTTACCTGGGTCACCTCTGTCACCTGTATCACCTGAGTCACCTGTGCTGTGCCACCTGTACTGTGCCACCTGTCCCACCTGTGTCACCTGTGCTGCGCCACCTGGGTCATCTGTGCCACCTGTCGCACCTGGGTCACCTGTCCCACCTGGGTCATCTGTGCCACCTGGGTCATCTGTGTTACCTGGGTCACCTCTGTCACCTGTATCACCTGAGTCACCTGTGCTGTGCCACCTGTGCTGTGCCACCTGTATCACCTCTGCCACCTGTGTCACCTGTGTCACCTGTGCCATGTCACCTGTGCCACCTGTGCTGTGTCACCTGTCCCACCTGGGTCACCCGAGCTGTGTCACCCATCCCACCCCACCTGCCCAGTGTCAGGGATGTCACCTTTGGCGCTCGGAGGGAACAGGGACACCCCAAACCTCCATCCCAGGGTCCCCTCCCCCCACACTGGTCACCTGAGCCCTCCCAGGTGACACCTGAGCCCTCCCAGGTGACACCAGTGTCCCACCCAGGTGACACCGGTGTCCCAGGTGAGCTGAGCCTTGTCCTGGGAGCCGGTCTGCCACCTGTGTCACCTGTGTCACCTGTGCCATGTCACCTGTGCCACCTGTGCTGTGTCACCTGTCCCACCTGGGTCACCCGAGCTGTGTCACCCATCCCACCCCACCTGCCCAGTGTCAGGGATGTCACCTTTGACGCTCAGAGGGAACAGGGACACCCCAAACCTCCATCCCAGGGTCCCCTCCCCCCACACTGGTCACCTGAGCCCTCCCAGGTGACACCGGTGTCCCACCCAGGTGACACCGGTGTCCCAGGTGAGCTGAGCCTTGTCCTGGGAGCGGGGAGGTGGGAGGAGCTCAGGTGGGGGGAATTCTGGAGCAGGGACATCCCTGGGGACACCTGGGACAGGGACATCACCTGAGCACACCTGGAGGACATTTTGGGACAGGGACATCACCTGGGACAGGGACATCCCTGGGCACAGCTGGGAAAGTGATGTCACCTGGGCACGGGACCCTGGGACAGGGACATCCCTGGGGACACCTGGAGAGGACACCTGGGACAGGGACATGCCCTGGCACACCTGGAGGGGACCCCGGGACAGGGACATCCCCGGGGACACCTGGGACAGTGACATCCCCCAGGGACACCTGGAGGACACCTGGAGGACAGGGACATCCCTGGGGACACCTGGAGAGGACACCTGGAGGACAGGGACATCCCTGGGGACACCTGAAGGACAGGGACATCCCTGGGGACACCTGGAGAGGACACCTGGGACAGGGACATCCCCGGGCACACCTGGGACAGTGACATCCCCCAAGGACACCTGGAGGACACCTGGAGGACAGGGACATCCCCGGGCACACCTGGAGGACACCTGGGCTGGGACCCCCGATCCCAGACATCCCCTGGATGCCAGGTGGGAGCTCCGGGGGTTCCCGGGGGTTCCCGGGGGTCCCCGGGGGTTCCCTTTACCTGCTGGGCTCGGGGGGCTCCGGAGGCTCCGCCCGGGATCGCTCCGGGGCCAGGGCAGCGCCAGGGCAGCGCCGGTGCTGCACCGGGGATCCCGGGGGCTCCTCGTCCTTTGATCCCAATCCAGGGAAATCCTTGTCCTTCTGTCCCAGTCCCGGGAAATCCTTGTCCTGTCCTGATCCCGGGGCACCCTCGGCCTTCTGTCCCAATCCCGGGGGATCCTTTTGCTTCGATCCCAATCCCAGGAAATCCTTGTCCTTCTGTCCCAGTCCCGGGAAATCCTTGTCCTTCGATCCTAACCCCAGGAAATCCTTGTCCTTTGGTTTCAATCCTGGGAAATCCTTGTCCTTTGGTCTCAGTCCCAGGGGATCCTTTTCCTTCGATCCCAATCCCAGGAAATCCTTGTCCTTTGATCCCAACTCCAGGAAATCCTTGTCCTTTGATCCCAACTCCAGGAAATCCTTGTCCTTTGATCCCAGTCCTGTAGGATCCTTGTCCTTCTGTCCCAATCCTGGAAAATCCTCATCCTCCAATCCCAGGAAATCCTCGTCCTTCAGCCCCAGCCAGGCCGCCCTGGAGGGACGGCGGGAGCTGCTCCCAGCAGGACACCTGTGGGGGGAGAGGGACACTGGGGACACTGGGGACACTGGGGACACTGGGGACGATAGGGTACAATGGGGACAATGAGCAAAACAGGGACACTGGGGACAGTGGAGGCATTGGGGACACTGGGGGCACTGGGGACACTGGGGACACTGGGGACATTGGGGACAATGGGGGCATTGGGGACAATGAGCACACTGGGGCATTAGGGACACTGGGGGACAGTGGAGGCATTAGGGACAATGGGGACTGGGCAAGGGACAATGGGAACACTGGGGACATTGGGGACAATGAGCAAAACAGGGACACTGGGGGAACTTGGGGACAATGGGGACAGTGGAGGCATCGGGGACAATGGGAACACTGGGAACATTGGGGACAATGGGGACAATGAGCAAAACAGGGACACTGGGGACAGTGGAGGCATTGGGGACAATGGGGACAATGGGGACATGGGGTGTTGGGGACCGTGGGGACACTGGGGACACGGCTGGGTGGGGACATTGGGGACAGTGGGGACACTGGGGACAACGGGGGCATTGGGGACACTGGGAACATTGGGGACACTGGGGACAATGAGCACACCGGGGCATTGGGGACACTGGGGGAAACTGGGGACAGTGGAGGCATTGGGGACACTGGGGACTGGGCAGGGGACAATGGGAACTGGGAAGGCGACAATGGGGACAATGGGGACATGGGATGTTGGGGACCGTGGGGACATTGGGGACACGGCTGGGTGGGGACACCCCCCTCCCCCCCCCGGTACCTCCGTCTCCGCCCGGTGCCCGAGGCCACCGAGGGCTCGTAGGATCCGAAGGGAAATCCCGGCTCCACCTGGGCCCCGCCCGGCCCTGCGGAACAACAGGACCCCAAATTCCCAAAACTCCAGAAATTCCAGAGATTTCCAGTGGGACTGGCCATGGAAAACCCCTGTGCTGCTCCTGCTGGGAATTCCCAGTGGGATTGGGATGGGAAAACCCCTGTGCTGCTCCTGCCCGGGAATTCCCAATGGGATTGGCCATGGAAAACACCTGTCTGGAATTCCCAGAATTCAGAGTTCCTGGATTCCAGTGGCATTCCAGTGGGATTCTGACCCTCTGGAACCCCCTCCCGTGGATCCCCCAATGGGATTGGGATGGGCAAACCCCTGTGCTGCTCCTGCTGGGAATTCCCAGTGGGATTGGGATGGGAAAACCCCTGTGCTGCTCCTGCTGGGAATTCCCAGTGGGATTGGGATGGGAAAACCCCTGTGCTGCTCCTGCCCGGAATTCCCAGTGGGATTGGGATGGGAAAACCCCTGTGCTGCTCCTGCCCGGAATTCCCAGTGGGATTGGGATGGGAAAACCCCTGTGCTGCTCCTGCTGGGAATTCCCAGTGGGATTGGGATGGGAAAACCCCTGTGCTGCTCCTGCTGGGAATTCCCGGCGGGATCTGGCGCCTCCGGAGCCCCTCCCGTGGCTCACCCGGCTGCTCCTGCCCCCTGGGCTCCGGCTGGAATTCCGCCTTTCCCGGCTGCTCCCGGATCCCGGCGCGGCCCCTCCGGAGGCCCTGGCTGGGCACAGGCGGGGGTGGCACCGGGGTGGCACCGGGACCCCCGTCCCCGTCCCCCTCCCGGTGTCCCCTCACCGCCCCGGCGTTCCCGGCGCGCTCCCGGCTCCGGCGGCGCTGCCGAGTCCCAGCGAGTCCATCAGGTCATCGACGTCGTCCCCAAAGGTGACATCGGGGCGGGGGGGCGCGGCTGGGGGGATGGCACTGGTGGCATCTGGGGCGTCCCTGGGTGCCACCAGCTCGGGGCATCCCAGGGACATCCCTGGGTGTCACCAGCTCGGGGACATCCCAGGGACATCCCTGGGTGTCACCAGCTCGGGGACATCTCAGGGACATCCCTGGGTGTCACCAACACTGGCATCCCTGGGTCTCACTGCATTGGGACATCCCTGGGTGCCACCAGCACTGGGACATCTCCAGGTGTCACCAGCTCTGGGACATGTCCAGTGTCACCAGCAGTCTGGGTGTCACCGACCAGCTCTGGGACGTCCCTGGGTGTCACCAACAGGATTTGGGACATCTCTGGGTGTAGCCAGCTCTGGGACTCTCCAGTCCCCGCTGTGTCCCCTCCCCGTGTCCCCTCCCCGTGTCCCCTCCCCGTGTCCCCTCCCCGTGTCCCTGCCCTGTCCCCAGAGCTGTTCCCAGCCTCTGTCTGCTCCTCCGGGGGACCCCGGGATCTGGGACGGCCCTGGAGGGGGAACGGGGTTTGATCCCAAAGAATGGGGTTGATCCCAAAGAATGGGGTTTGATCCCATGGAATGGGGTTGATCCCATGGAATGGGGTTTGATCCCATGGAACGGGGTTGATCCCAAAGAATGGGGTTGATCCCATGGAATGGGGCTGATCCCACAGGAATGGGGTTGATCCCATGGCGTGTCCCTGCCCTGTCCCCAGAGCTGTTCCCAGCCTCTGTCTGCTCCTCCGGGGGACCCCGGGATCTGGGACGGCCCTGGAGGGGGAACGGGGTTTGATCCCATGGATGGGGTTTGATCCCATGGAATGGGGTTGATCCCATGGAATGGGGCTGATCCCACAGGAATGGGGTTGATCCCATGGTTGATCCCAAAGAATGGGGTTGATATCACAGCGATGGGGTTTGATCCCATAGAATGGGGTTTGATCCCATGGAATGGGGTTGATCCCATGGAATGGGGCTCATCCCACAGCAATGGGGCTGATCCCACAGGAATGGCGCTGATCCCACAGGAATGGGGTTTGATCCCAAGGAATGGGGCTTGATCCCATGGAATGGGGTTTGATCCCAAAGAATGGGGCTGATCCCACAGGAATGGGGTTTGATCCCATGGAATGGGGTTTGATCCCATGGAATGGGGTTGATCCCATGGAATGGGGTTGATCCCATGGAATGGGGTTTGATCTCACAGGAATGGGGTTGATCCCATGGAATGGGGTTGATCCCATGGAATGGGGTTTGATCTCACAGGAATGGGGTTGATCCCATGGAATGGGGTTGATCCCACAGGAAAGGGGTTTGATCCCGTGGAATGGGGTTGATCCCATGGTCGATCCCATGTTTTGATCCCAAAGAATGGGGTTGATATCACAGCGATGGGGCTGATCCCATGGACCATGGTTGATCCCAACAGAATGGGGTTTGATCCCAATGGAATGGGGTTGATCCCACAGGAAAGGGGTTTGATCCCGTGGAATGGGGTTGATCCCATGGTCGATCCCATGTTCTGATCCCACAGCAATGGGGTTGGATCCCACAGGACTGGGGTCGATCCCACAGGACTGGGGTTGATCCCACAGCAATGGGGTTGGATCCCACAGCAATGGGGTTGATCCCATGTTCGATCCCATGTTTTGATCCCACAGCAATGGGGTCGATCCCACAGGATTGGGGTTGATCCCACAGCAATGGGGTCGATCCCACAGCAATGGGGTCGATCCCACAGGATTGGGGTTGATCCCACAGGAATCCCCAGTACCTTTCTGGGGACCCGGCCCCTTCCCGCCGCGCTTCCCCAGCCTGGACCCGGCTCTGGCCATTCCCAGGATTTCTGCATCCAGCTCGTCCAGGTCATCCAGCTGATCCGGGTGATCCGGGTGTCCCACGGGGTCACGGCGATCCGTGGGATCAACGGGATCCTGGAAACCCGTGGGATCAACGGGATCCTGGAAATCCGTGGGATCAACGGGATCCTGGAAACCCGTGGGATCAACGGGATCCTGACAATCCATGGGATCAATGGGATCCCAGTGAGCCGTGGGATCCCGGCGATCCCGGTGATCCATGGGATCTGGTGATCCATGGGATCCAGCTCCGGGGGGAGCAGCTCCTGCCCTCACCTGCAGCCCAGGTGGGATCCCAAATCCTTTGGGAATTCTGCCCCGCTCAGCTTCGCCCCTTCCGCGTTCCCCACTGGGAATTTCCTGTTCTTTGGGAATTTCCCTTCCCCCACTGGGAATTTCCCGTTCTTTGGGAATGTCCCATCCCCCATTCATTGGGAATTTCCTGTTCTTTGGGAATTTCCCATTTCCCACTGGGAATGTCCCATTCTTTGGGAATTTCCCATCCCCATTCATTGGGAATTTCCCTTCCCCCGCTGGGAATTTCCCATTCTTTGGGAATTTCCCATCCCCATTCTTTGGGAATTTCCCCTTTCCCTTTGGGAATTTCCCTTCCCCCCACTGGGAATTTCCCGTTTCCCATTGAGAATTTCCCGTGTTTGGGGAATTTCCTGTTCTTTGGGAATTTCCCATTTTCCATTGGGAATTTCCTGGTTTTTTTGGGATTTTCCCACTCTTTGGGAATTTCCCCTTCTCTGTTGGGAATTTCCTGGTTTTTGGGAATTTCCCATTCCCTGCTGGGAATTTCCTGTCTTTTGGAATTTCATGGTTTTTTGGAATTTCATTGTTTTTTTGGAATTTCATGTTTTTTTGGAATTTCATGTTTTTTTGGAATTTCATGGTTTTTGGAATTTCATGGTTTTTTTGGAATTTCCTGGTTTTTTGGAATTTCCCCGTTCCCTGTTGGGAATTTCCCATTTTTTTGGAATTTCATGGTTTTTGGAATTTCATTGTTTTTTTGGAATTTCCTGGTTTTTTGGAATTTCCCGTTCCCTGTTGGAAATTTCCCATTGGGAATTTCCCGTTCTTTGGGAATTTCCCGGGTTTGGGAATTTCCTGGTTTTTGGGATTTTCCCCCCCCTCAATCCCAATCCCAATCCCGGCCCCACCCCGGGCACAGCCCAGGTGAGGGGGCGGGGCCCCAGGGGCTCCCAGGTGAGCACACCTGGAGAAGGAGGCTGGGAGGGGCTCACCTGGGCTCACCTGGGGTCACCTGAGCCCACCTGGGGTCACCTGAGCTCACCTGGGGTCACCTGAGCCCACCTGGGATCACCCAGAGCTCACCTGGGGTCACCTGAGCCCACCTGGGGTCACCCAGAGCTCACCTGGGATCACCTGAGCCCACCTGGGATCACCCAGAGCCCACCTGGGGTCACCCAGAGCTCACCTGGACCCACCTGAGCCCACCTGGACCCACCTGAGCCCACCTGGGGTCACCTGAGCCCACCTGGGGTCACCCAGAGCTCACCTGGACCCACCTGGGGTCACCCGGGGCTCACCTGCAGGAAGGGGGCGTGGGAACCTCGGGAGGGCGGAGCCGGAGCCTCCTCTGGAAACGAGAGAGGGGTCGGGGATGGACCCGGAGATGGGGAGGGGGGGGATCCCCCCAGGTGACCCCCCCAGGTGACCCCCCCAGGTGACCCCAGGTGACCCCAGGTGACCCCCTTGGGTGCTCCCACTTTACCATCGGATCCCAGGAGCTCCCCGAGCACGTCCCCGATGGGATCTGGAACAGGACAGAGCCCAGGTGAGCCCAGGTGGGTCCAGGTGAGAACACCTCACCTGTGTCCTGGAACACCTCACCTGTGCCCTCGAACACCTCACCTGTGCCCTAGAACACCTCACCTGTGTCCTGTCACACCTCAACCTGTGTCCTGGAACACCTCACCTGTCCCACCTCACCTGTGCCCGGGACATTCCCGCCCCCTCCATCCCAGCATTCCACCTCACCTGTCCCACCTCACCTGTCCCCGGGACATTCCCGCCCGCTCCATCCCAGCATTGCCAGGGAGCCAAATCCCCTGGAGAGCAGGAGGGGACAGGTGAGGGGACAAGGACAGGTGAGGGGCACGAGGACAGGTGGGGACAGGGGAGGGGGACGAGGACAGGTGGGGACAGGTGAGGGCACGAGGACAGGTGAGGGGACGAGGACAGGTGGGGACAGGTGAGAGCACTCACCTGGCGAGCCGCTCCGGGCCCTGGCAGCCTGGGGAAAGACAAAACTCCCTTGGCAGAAACGGAAGCACCGAGATGTCCCCACAGGGCACGGGTGCGGCACGAGGGGTCCCTCACCTGTCCCCCCTCACTCACCCTGGCCCGTCCCGCTCTCTCCGCCATTCCCGGGCGGTCCCAGCTCCGCTGCCCGGTACCGGCTCCGGCCCCCCGCGGCCCTGAGGGCAGCCCCAGGTGACGCTCGGGTCCCGCTCCCGCTCCCGTTCCCGCTCCCGTTCCCGCCCGGGGCTCCCCCGCCTCCCTCACCCGTTCCCGCGCTCGCCATGGGCGCCGCCATATTGCGCGCCGGCCTCATGGAAGGCCCCCGCTGCCATAGCAACGGGGCTGCCCCGCCCGGCGCCTGATTGGAAACCCGCCGTTACCGTAGCAACGAGGCGCGCCGCGCCAAGGAAGGCCCCCGCTGCCATGGCAACAGGGCTGCCCCGCTCGGCGCCTGATTGGAAACCCGTCGTTACCGTAGCAACGAGGCGCGCCGCGCCAAGGAAGGCCCCCGCTGCCATGGTGACGGGCCTGCCTTGAGCAGCGCCTGATTGGAAACCCGCCGTTGCCGTAGCAACGAGGAGCGCCGCGCCAAGGAAGGCCCCCGCTGCCATGGTGACGGGGCTGCCCCGAGCAGCGCCTGGTCCGAGCCGCTGTCGCGATTCTCCTCCTGTCGCCGGCCGTTCCCCGGTGCCGCGGGGCTCGTCCTGCCGGGATCCGGGCTCGGGCACCCCCGCAGGAAACATCGCGATACGCCGCCGGAAAATCGCGATATCGCGACACAACCCCCGGAAGTCGCCTTAAAATCGCGATATCGCGACACAACCACCAGATGGCGCCTTAAAATCGCGATATCCCGACACAACCCCTGCGATATGGCCAGAAAATGCCAAAAATCGCCCGGAGGCCCAAAAATCGCTTTTATTGATCAACAAACGGGGCTAGGCCGGAAATGGGGGAGGGGACTGGGCTGGACTGGGATATACTGGGAGCACTGGGCTGGACTGGGGGGGCTGCACTGGGTTGGGCTGGTCCAGACCGGTCTGGACTGGGTTGTACTGGTCTGGACTGGTGGGGCCCTACTGGTAGTAGAGCTCCAGGTTCATCCCGTCGTGGATCTCATCTGGAGCCGCCGTCAAGGAAACAAATTTGGGGTTCTGGGGTGTTTGGGGTTGGGTTTTTGGGGTTCAATGTTTTTGGGGAGAGTTCCTGGGGGATTTTTGGGGCTCTGGGGGGTTTTTGGGGCTCTGGGGGGTTTGGGATTCTGGGGATGTTTGGGTTTTAGGGGAGGTTTTGGGGTTCTGAGGGGTTTTTGGGGTTTGGGGTTTTGGGGGGTTTTTGGGGTTTGGTGTTTTTGGGGTTTTGGGGTTCTGGGGGTTCTGAGGGGTTTTAGGGGTCGGGTTTTTGGGGTTCTGGGTTTTTTTGGGTTCTGGGGGATGTTTGGGGTTGGGAATTTGGGGTTCTGGGGGTTTTTGGGTGGATACAGTCCCCAAGCGTGACGTGGTCTTTGAAGATCGTGTACCTGGGGGGAGGGGAAGGGGGGGGCGTGGTCTTTGAAGATCGTGTGCCTGGGGGGAGGGGAAGGGGGGGGGGCGTCACCCCCTCCCCAAAACCCCAGAGCAGGCAGCACCCCCCTCAGGGAGCCCCAAAACCCCGGGGCTCCCTCCTGACCCCCCAAACCCCCGGGGTGCCCCCCAGTGCCCCCAGACCATTTTTTGAGCACGATCTTGTCCCAGCGCGTGCCGGTCTGGGCCGCTATCAGCTTCTTCAGGTCCCGGATCGAGTCCTCGGGGCTGCCCCGCCGTCAAGGAAATGGGGACACAAACACAGCCCAGAACACCCCAAAACCGCCCCAAAACCTGCCCCAAAACCAGCCCAAAATCACCCCAAAACGGCCCCAAAACCACCCCAAAACCTGCCCAAAATCACCCCAAAACCTGCCCAAAATCACCCCCAAACCTCCCCAAACACACTCCAAAACCTGCCCCAAAACCACCCCAAAACTGCCCCAAAACCAGCCCAAACACACCCCAAAACTGCCCCAAAACTACCGCAAAACACCCCAAAACCTACCCCAAAACTGCCTCAAAACCCCAAAACTGCCTCAAAACAACCCCAAAAACACCCTCCAAAACCATACCAAATCCTGTCCCAAAACAACCCCAAAATCACCCCAAAACCAGCCCAGAACCTGCCCCAAAACCAGCCCAAAGCCACCCCAAAATCAGCCCAAAATACCCTCCAAAACCAGCCCAAAACCTGCCCCAAAACCAGCCCAAAACCAGCCCAAACACCACAAAACTGCCCCAAAACCAGACCAAATCCACCACAAAACAACCCCAAAACTGCCTCAGAACAGACCCAAAACCAGCCCAAAACCTGCCCCAAAACCAGCCCAAACACACCCCAAAACCAGACCAAAACACCCCAAAATCTGCCCCACTACTGCCTCAAAACAGCCCCAAAACCAGCCCAAAGACACCCTAAAACCACCCCAAAATCCTCCAAAACTGCCCCAAAAGCACAGCAAAACCTGCCCTAAAACACCCCCAAAACAACTCCAAAATCTCGCCCCAAATACCTGCCCCAAGCACCCCAAAACCACAGCAAAACACCTCCAAAACCTGCCCCAAAACAACCCCAAAACAGCCCCAAACACCCCCAAAAAATCCCCAAAACAATCCCCAAAAACCACCCCAAAACCTGCCCCAAAAACCTGCCCCAAAACAACCCCAAAACCAGCCCAAAGCCACCCCAAAATCAGCCCAAAACACTCCAAAACCTGCCCCAAAATACCCTCCAAAACCACCCCAAAACCACCCCAAAACCCCAAAACAGCCCCAAACACCCCCAAAAAATCCCCAAAACAATCCCCAAAAACCACCCCAAAACCTGCCCCAAAAACCTGCCCCAAAACAACCCCAAAACAGCCCCAAACACCCCCAAAAAATCCCCAAAACCTGCCCCAAAACAACCCCAAAACCTCCTCAAAACCCCAAAATCTCCCCAAAACCTCAAATCCTTCCTAAAACACCCCCAAAAGCTCACAAAATATCCCCAAAACATCCCAAAACAACACCAAAACATCCCAAAAGCCACCAAAACACCCCAAAATCTCCCCAAAAGCTCCTCAAAACCCCTTAATATCCCCCAAAAACTTCTCCCAACACCCCAAAACCTCCCAAAACTTCTCCAAAACCCTCCCAATCTTCAAATCCTCCCAAAACCCCACCCAAAACCTCCCCAAAACCCCAAATCCCACCCAGAACGCCCCAACACCTCCCTAAATCCCCCAAAAACCTCCCCCAAAATCCCAAATCCACCCCAGAACGCCCCAAAACTTCACCAAATCCCCCCAAAACCTCCCCAAATCCCCCCTAAAGTTCCCCAAAACCTCCCCAAACCTCTCCAAAACCTCCCCAAATTCCCTCTAAACCTCCCCAAATCCCCCAAAAACCTCCCCCAAAACCCCAAATCCCACCCGGAACGCCCCAAAACCTCCCCAAATCTCCCCTAAATCTCCCCCAAAACCCCAAATCCCACCCAGAACGCCCCAAAACTTCACCAAATCCCCCAAAAACCTCCCCAAATCCCCCCTAAAGTTCCCCAAAACCTCTCCAAAACCTCTCCAAAACCTCCCCAAATCTCCCCAAATTCCCTCTAAACCTCCCCAAATCCCCCAAAAACCTATTTTAAATTCTCTATTTCCACTTAAATCTCCAAAATTTAGATTTTAAATTCTCTATTTCCACTTAAATCTTCAAAATTTGCATTTAACTTCCCAATTTCTGTCAATTTCCACCTAAATCTTTAAAAAATTTGAATTTTAAATTCCAAATTTTTGTCAATTTCCACTTAAACCTCCAAAATTTGAATTTAAATTCCCAATTTCCGTCATTTTTTCCCTCCTTAAATTCCCATTTTAACGAAAATATTTTGAATTTTAATTCCCATTTTTCGCCCCTTTCCCCCCTCCCCCTCCCTTTAAATTTTTGGGGATTTTTTTGGGGATAAAAACGGGGTGGAAAAACCCGAAAATTCCATTTTTTGTGTTGTTTTTTTTTGGCGTTTTTTATACAAAACCAAACTCGCAGCGTTTTTTATTCCACGATCGGCGAAACCCCGGCGCGGGAATTCCGGGGGGGAAAACCCAACCCAAATAAAATTAATTAATTATTAATAATTAATCCAACCCCGGGGGGGGAAACGGGGAGAATTCCCGGGATTTTGGGCAAAAAGGGAGAGAGAAAATATAAAAAAAAAAGTGAATAAAAAGGGGGAAAAATGGGGGGAAATGGGGAAAAGGGGGGGGAAAAGGGAAAAATTGGGAAGAGGGAAGGAAAGAGGGGGGGAAATGGGGGTAAAAAAAGGTGAAAATGAGGAAAAGAGGGGAAAGGGGAAATGGGAATGGGAAAAAGGGAGAAAGGGGGAAAGGGAAATGGGGAAATGGGAATGGGGGAAAGGGGAGAAATGGGAATGTGGGAAATGGGGGAAAAGGGGGGAAAAAGGGAAAAAGGGGAAATGGGGGAAAGGGGGAAAAAGGGAAAAAGGGGAAAAGGGAAATGGGGAAATGGGAATGGGGGAAAGGGGAGAAATGGGAATGTGGGAAATGGGGGAAAAGGGGGGAAAAAGGGAAAAAGGGGAAATGGGGGAAAGGGGGAAAAAGGGAAAAAGGGGAAATGGGAATGGGGGAAAAGGAAAAAAGGGAATGGGAATATGGGGATGAAGGAAAAGGGGGGAAAAGGGGGGGAAATGGGGAAAAGGAAAAATGGGAATATGGGAAAGGAAATGGGAATGGGAAAAAGCAGAAAAAAGAGGAAAAAGGGGGAAATGGGAATATGGGAAAAGGGGAGGAAAAGGGAAAGAGAAAGAGAAAAAGGGAAAAACAGAAGGGAAAGGGAAAGGAAAATGGAACAGGGGAAAAGAAAAAGGGGAAGGAGAAGGGAAAAGAAAAAAAGGGAAAGGGGAAAAAACGGGAGGGAAAGGGAGAGGGGAAAGGGGGGAAAAGCGGAGGAAAAGGGAAGGAAAAAGAGAAAAAAGAGAAAAAAGGGAGGAAAAGAGAGAAAAGGGAAAGGAGGAAGAAGAAGGGAAAGGAAAAGGAGGAAGGGGAAAAGGGGAAACCGAAAGAAAAAGGGGAAGAGGAGGAGGAAAAGGTGGAAAAAAAGGAGAAAAAAAAGGAGGGAAAAAAGGAGGAGAAAAAAGGGAGAAAATAAAAAAGAGGGGGAAAAAGGAGGGAAAAAGGAGAAAAAAAGGAGGAAAAAAATGAGAAAAAAAAGGAGAAAAAAAAAAGGAGAAAAAGAGGCAAAAAGGGAAAAGCGGGAGGGAACAGGGACGGGACGAGAAGGAAAAGGGCGGCGGGGAAAGGCACGGGAGCACAGGGAAGGGAGAGCGGTCGGTACCGGAGGCAGCGAACGGGAGAAGCCCCGGTTCCACCGCCGGGGCCGCCCCCGCCCCCCCGGGCACCTCCCGAGCCCC